TTGAAAACAGGTCCATACGTATAAAAGGAGGTAAAAATGAACATCTTAGCCTAACTGATAGATTCTTTTACGCGGGTTCTTACTGCAAACCAACGTTTAGGAAACATAATTCAAAGTGGACCATATCTGCTAAATGACGGCAGTCACTACACTCTTACGCAACTCTATGATGTCTTAAAACATTAACCTCCGTGATAACAAAACGATATCCTCTCTTTTCTTGATTATTGGATGGCTTTTCTTTTTACTATTTCTACATCCAAAACTTTGATCCAAGAGTTGGCAAAGCGCAAACGTATTTCGCATGAAATACGCATAAAGTTTGCGATCCAAACTCAAACAACAGAGAACCCGTTTGCACCATAAACCGCTTTACAATTTACATTTGTACGCTTTTATATGCTTCCTCAAAGCAGCATCTATTAGGTAATGACATGTTGACAATGAGGTTTCTTTTCTATATCTATCAAAGAACATTTATAATTGTTATCATATTTGCTCAATATCGTTACCAAATAATTCCACATAGACATGGCCCGAAAATAGTCTTCCTGCAAAATTATGAACCATTATAGATAAGACTAAATAAACGCAAGTCTCACGGCAACAAGATACGAGAGAACTTGCAAAGCCAGGCATATTTCGGACACATCGAATAAAAAGGCTATGACCTAACTGTCAGTTTCAACGCAACCTCTCCAGTTCACTTATGATCTCTGTCATGTCTGGTCTTTCCCTAGGATTTGTCTTCAGACATCGACGCACGAGTTCTCGCAGGCCATGGTCTCTTACCATATTGACTTGCGCTAGGCGCTTTTGTGGGTCTGGAAACTGCTTAAAGGAGCACATTTCACACAGGAGAACACCGAAACTGTAGACATCAATCTTAAAAAAAAAAACAGCAACAAAAAAATTAAACCAAAATTAATTATCATTCGGGTCTCGGGAATAATTTAAATATTATTGAATCTGGAATACTTTCCCTCCCCTTGAGACGAATACCAGGCACGATCAAGAGAGTTCGTGGAAGCGACTTGCTGTCGTTCACGGTACAATGCTGTGCGTTTGTGTTTTATAATCGCCCTTCAAGGTTGTTCAAATTATTGATCTTTGTTCTAGATGCTCGGCTAGGTCTTTGATTAGTGTAACGAGATTTTTAGTACCTATTTCTTATGCTTGGCGAAGTTCTTAAGACTGAACTGATGTAAAGGGTTTGACTATGATTGGCAATCTTTACGGCCTTGTTATTATCGCTTGTCAAAGGGAACTGCATGCTTATTCTGCCGAGTGATAGTATCACTCGGCAGTATTATAGAGTGATTAACTATGCAAAAATAGACAGATGGACGAATATAAAAAAAGGTCTGCGCATTTAAAGAAGATTTCTCCCCTTGGTTTTAACCAAAAGGTAACTTGCTACTTTCTTAATCATGGAAACTAAGCTTTTTGTCACGTTTACAAACTGTGAATGCGAGCTAAAAGAGCTAAATTATCATTCCATCTGTATGATAAACAATCCATCATATCATTCCATTTAAATTACCACTCCAATGTACTTTAACTACTTCATTTGAGAGCCTGAGACAACAAGACATCTTTTCCTTTCCAATTAAACAGGAAATATTTGTTGGTAAGCTGTTCAAGGAAATGTGTTCCCGCGTTAACGACTTTACGAATCATTTTATTCAAGTGTCTCATCAACTTTCTCTTTTATCACTCTTTTGCCGCTTTAAATAGTATAGAAAACTATTGCTATGTAACTCAGTAACTTATCCATACGACAAGGGCAGTGGTGGTTGCATGTAAGTTACGCAGTAAGGCAAATAGGTGCATTATATATCTCCTAACCTTCGCCGTCTGATTCGAAGATTTATTTACTTCGGGAGCGCTGTAGGCAAAACAGCCAGGACCAATTGACATCTTCTGTTCCTTGAATTTGGCGGCGCCGTAATCAGAAACTTTCCCTCGCCAACTATTTCCTTGTCGCCATAGCAACACATTGCCACTGCTGATGTCACGGTGGATAATCGGAGAAGGTTTCTTTTGGTGAAGGTAATTTAAAGCTTGAGCCACATCCAGAGCAATAACAGATATTTCGGCCTTGGAAAGAGGTCGCTGCTCTAACAGTTGCCTCAAACTTGTTTCCATGAGCTCCGTGACATAGAGGGGAATTCCCTCGTCATTAGTTGCTCCGATAAACTGCAGTAAGCAAGGATGGCGGCATCTTGAGGCGATGTCAATCTCTCGCCAGAACAAACTCTGGTTATGAGGAGAAACGATGGTTTCGTGCATTTGTTTGACAGCGACGGAGCACCCACAATATCTGCCTTCAAACACCTCTGCCCAGCTTCCAGCTCCAAGAGTGATATCCAATATTTGAATCTCATCTCGAGGGATAATCCAGTCGCAGAACTGTGACTCCAATTTATCCTCCAGAATCGCAACTTGTTGCCTTAAATTAGCACTTTCCACTTCTCTCTCTGCAAGTTGTCGTTGAGCATTCCTCCATCGGTCTTCCATCTCCGTGACCTGTCTCTGCAAATTTTCCCTTTCCCGTAACTGCTGCTGTAACTCGCCAAGATGTGTTCGTAAATTTTCTTCTCGTTCTTCTTTCTCTCTGCACTCCAGCTCCTTTTCACTCAACTTTCTTTGAAAGTTTGATACTCGTTGAGTTCTTTCAATAAGCTGATCACGAAACCATGTTTCGCTCGTTTCAGTTTTCTTTATTTTTTCTTTCCACCTTTGCTCTCGTTCTTCTTTCTCAGTCAACTGTTTCTGCAAGTTCTCTATTTGCTGGTCTTTATCTTTGAGCCGTATATTAAACGTAGTTTCTTCCTCTTTCAGTCGTCGTTCCATCTCTTTAAGCTGAGTCTGGAAAATTTCCTCTTCAAACTGATCAGATTTCTTTAGTAAATGGCTTTGGTAAATTTCTGTAAACAACATCTGTAATAAGTTCCCTTCACTTGCATTTTTTGATTGAGTAGATTACTGGGTTGAAACCCCCTTGATATTTTGTTTTCTTATAGTTTTGAAAAATAAACTTGAAATTAACTCCTCGTTTGTCTGATTGATTAGACGTGGCATTTATTCGAGGGCGGTGTTCATTGGTCAATTTGCTTCCAATCGTGGGAAAATTTAAATCAAGTAAATAAGGTACGTAAAAAATAGTTGGAAATTAAGTTACTTGAAGTGCACATTAAATAGGTCTTTGCATTTGATCCAGGAAAGATTCTCGTGGGAAAAAGAAAACATAGGCATGTGTAACATGCAAGAATTATTTTTTTCAGTTGAGTAGGTCGAAATGGTACACTTTGTGTTTCTAATATTTTCATAACTTTCAGAAGAACGAAAATATCGCATTACTTCGCTTTAAGAGAAAGATAAAAAACATGATTTATGCAAACTCACACAGGTATTTTGTGGTCTATTGTCTCTACTCTCTAACTAGTTCTGAGCAAAAATAAAATGCATCAGTGCCACGCTTACTATAACCGCCTTCGCAGCCGTCGCTCGGTCTTGTCATTCAACGTCCTCTATTCCCCATTGAAGGGAGAGCCACTGCGTGACGAGACCAAATAACGGTGGCGAAAGAGACTTCGCTCACGAGTTAAATTAAAAATTTAAATGCGAACCTTTCATATCCCGAATAATCTCGGCCTTAATCGACGAGGCTCTCGCGAAGGCCACAAACCATTACACTTAACAAATGAGCCCAAAATTTCTGGTTTATGTCATTTTTTGTGCACAGCTCCCTGATCCATGACATCATTTATAACAAAGCAATACCAAACGCTGTGATTAGTGCAGGATATTCAAATGCTGTCATATGATTATGCGAGGAACATACCCTAATGAAGCAATCTGATTGGTGCGAGATAATACCCTAATGCGGCAATCTGAGTGGTGCGAGATACAAATCCTAACGCGGCGATCTGATTGGTGCGAGCAACATAACACTTTATACGCAAACATAGAATTACTCTTTTTTTAATTAAAGAAAAAGACAAAAAATAAACACAGTAGCACGCAGCCAAAAAAAAATGTTGGCTCACTAAACGTACTGCGTATTTACATAAGAAAGGGCTCAGCGGAAGAAGATCCTCGGCTGCATGCAAATGACCTCTATCTAAGTAAAAGTGCGTGCCAACCAGTTACTACTAACCACGATTAGAGATTCAAAAGACTGACCGAACTAATCTCGTACCTAGATTCTACCGTTTAACCGTAACTGAAATGTGGGGACCTTTCAACTGCTTGGCCGTGAAAGGTCTGGATACAAGACTATGACCGAACCAAACGGAAGTTGTCTTCAAAATGAGCTAATGCTATTAATAATAATGTTATGTATGAAAAAATTAAGCGCGTCTGATTGACGGAAAACGAGTGCATTTTTCATGTAACACGAGTACTAATTACAGGAAGAACCAAGTTATTCCTATTGTAGCTCGTGCAGTGATGCTCACTATAGCTCACCATTTTTAAAAAAAGTTCCACATAGTAGAGACATGTGTTGTTTATCAGGCGTACTTTCCTCTACGAAAAGGTAGTTTACGACAGTAAGATAACAGGAATCTCTCGCACGTTTAGTTCGTGTTACAAGCTAAAGAGAGCAGACTGGAAAAGTAGAAAAGAGTGGACTTCTTCATTGGGAAAAAATTACACTGAACTGCTAGTGATTATGATACGGATGACGTCACTCAGATGCAAAATGAGGCAGGACTCTACTCAAGTCGAGTAGAGTACTTGCCTAAGAATCACCTCATTCTTCAAAAGAGAAGGTAATGATTAGTAGGATCGTTGAAAGAGTGAAATTCCCTTAACTTATCAGTCATTGTCAGTCAATAACAAACTTACTTTCTTATGAACACACTATTATAACATCATACAATATAGCATATATCATGGTAGCTTTAAAATAAAAATATAAAGATGGGACCAGTACATACGAGTTATTTCTAAACGCTTATTTTTGTGGAACAGCCTTCTTACAGTTGTTATAATCATTCAACAAAATCAATGATTCTGCAGTCAGTACCATTTGATGAATTTCTGGGGACCTGCTCCTTTGCTAATCCAGCCCTTTGTCTAAGATTAACTGATTCCACCAAAAGTTCAATAATGGCATCAACTATGACCTTTGCCTGAAAGAAATAATAACACATGCTTAGAATAATTAATACTTGTGAGTACTTATGGGCAATATTTGAGATTGAATGTTATGAAAATGTTTATTCGCATATATGAATTGGAGACTAAGAATTTGCAGAGAAGTCTTACAAGCCTTCAAATCAAAGTGCACTATTGTAAAGTAGATTTAAAGTATTTTTCCTCTTCAACAAGATACAATTTGCATTGTTCCCTGACAAAAATTTTTCTCCTCAATGATTTCTTTTCAACAGGAAATGCTACTCTCAGAAAGGCACAAAAACACATGCAATAAATTAACTGAAACTGGAAATTTTTGGGTAGCTCAGTTTTTGAAACTTTTTTTTGCTGACTTAGAAATTCCCTTCAATTATTAAAAAATTGAATCCAAATGTCATACAGAAAAGAGAATGTAGGAAAAGGACATCAGTTTTATTTTTAGATGACTCAGAATTAATTTGTATCTCCATTTGTATTGTAATAATTTGATATGAAATACATTCCCTTGTGTATCTCTTTGAACAGTAGACAGTAGACTTGTATACCTTTTCCTTATAAAGGGTGATGACATATGTATAACTGAAACCAACTATTAGTTACTGGTTATAAGATTAGTCTGCTGTCAAGCCCATAGCCCTTGCTTCTGGAGCTTGATCCAGATGTTCATTCCACTTTCATGAGCATATGACATAACCAGGGGCACTGTATGCATCCTTACCTTGGTTAAATGTTAATTCAGCCAGGGTGAGGATTAATGCTAAGTTAATTCTTTAGCAGTTTTGATATACCTCCATATGTTCCTCAGCAGAGAGAGGCATTGCGAGTGTGAGACATCAGATCCCAATAGTAACACAACACAGTGAACAAAACATGTCTCAAACCAAGACCATGCATCACGTCTCCTACAACTAGCCAATGCATTTTTTGTATTTCATTTAACAAAGCAAACAATTTTTTTTAGTCCCTCTTACATTTTTTGACTTCAGGGCATAAAATTTATGTCCAGTGGAACAATCAGGTTGACTGAAAACATAACCAAATATTTTTCTATCATCTGGGTCAGGAATGACAAATGTTATTCTCTTGACAGGATGCATATGCTTCACTTTCTAAAACAAAAAAAAAATCAGTAAAACCTATAAAAAACTCAAAAAGCACTGAGATGGAAAGGGCACCTGGAGATTTCATTGAATCTTTCCCTTCTTTTGTTTAGCCCTTCCTTTGTTCAGTACTCTCCAGCTATTTTTGACTTGAGTGAATAAATGAATAAATAAGTAAATAAATAGATATTTCAACGGGTAAATTGATAAAGAAAATGTACTGTAACATGTAACAAAACATTTTAACCATATACTGCCCCTTGAAAATTTTCTTTAGCGATTAGATGGGAAAAGTGAAAGCAGTATTTTGATGAGATTTAAGAGTTAACTTATTCCTTTTTTTTTTTTTTGATAAAAAAAAAATGGATCAATATCAGTATCTGGGCAACTGCCCACCTACCCCTTCCCTAACTCAACAACAGTCAATTGATAACAAGTTCAGGTTAATGTTGGGTTAGGGGAGGGGTAGGTGGGCAGTTGCCCAGATACTGATATTAATAAAAAAAATATATTGGATAAGATGTAGAGATAGAAATATACTGCATAGTTTTACTTGGCATTTTGATTCCCCAATTTTGAAAAAAAAAACTCCCTTTACCAAAATTTAAGTTGCACACCCATGGGTGCAACTTATATGTCACTGTGTCTATGGTGATCACAAGGTGGTTAAATAATATTTGACTTATTTGCACACTTACTTGAGAAGTCTCATCTTCTATCCTGATACCTTCCAAACTAATAACAGTCAGTGTCACCCTCTCTTTGTGCAGCCACTTTTTCTTTGCCTGAGCCTAGTTTAAGTAATAATCATAATATTAATAATAATAATAATAAAACACAGACATCATTACCAGTAAGCATTCCAGGACTGAGAAGATTATTATGTTACCAGAGGGAAAAGTGAAAAGATATTGCAGTGCATTGGGGTAAGGCAGTAGAGAAGAGGCTTGGTACCAAATTGGGCTGAATGAATGGCAGTTTATGACAAGCTTTCATGATCAACTATAGGCAGTATCAATTTGTCATATTGGCAGACTTGCCTGTGGTAAGTACACTGAGAAGTTTTTAGTACTTACTGGTAGGTTATAATAATGCAACTCAGGCAGTTTTATGTTGGCATGTTCAAGGAATAACACAGCCTATAATTGTCATGTTTTAGGATATAACACCGCTTATAATTGCCATTGTGGCAAAAAATCAATTTGAGCTTTGATTCATGATCAAGTTCATGAATTAACATAGCTCCTGAACAGATAAACTGCACCTTTAATTTCCCAAAAGCTTCAGCACACATATCTACACCCTCTGGGCTAATGACATCTGTTACCCCTACAAGCTTTGAATTAAAAGTAAAGAAAACAGTGTCAAAACTATTTCAAAAAATTAAGGAAAAGGGGGAATTAGACTTATAAATTGACGAAATCAGACCTTGCACTGAAATTTGATTCCTTCTCCACTGGTTCCCATTTCCTTGATAACAAGAAATGAAAAAAAAATTCAAATTTATCACCAGAAGCATCAATATGTGTAAACTTTAATTGTAATCCAATGCACAACAAGAAAAGTAAGAACGCCTTGGATTAATGCCATTAAGCACAAACTAAGTAAATTTGCCTTCAAGTTGTGTGCAAATTGTCTCACACACAACCATGAACCCATCATGGCCTTTAGACATAAGACTGCCTTAAAGTTTTACGGGAAATGGGTATACAGTTAGTCTAATACAAAGTACTGTATTTGAGTTTCAGTTTTATTCAATCAGTAATATTAAATCCCTATCCCTTAAGCAACAGTTTTACCTTCCTGGATTCATCCCTTTAACCAAGTCAACAAGTGAAATACCCAACCATGTCTCAGGTTTTCCCTCTAGATTTCCAAGAACTTGTTTCCAATTTCCACTATGATTAATCATAGTATCGATGATAGTCATGATACTATTTCCTCTGTGAAACGTTTAATCAGAGCATAGCTACAAAACTAATGACATCAACTTGGAAGAGATATTTTTGCTTGTACTGCCCCATGAAATGGACTGGACAAGTAGTGTCATCATTCAGACACAAAGAGACTGACTCTCTCTTTCATTGCCAAAGGCTAACTGAACTTTATTAACAGACACATTACACACACTGGGAAGGAAAATGTCAGTTACTCGAGGCATCGTAACACGAGTTTCATTGAGCGAGTAATGAAACAAATACTCACTAATATGCTTCTCAATTTATTTACTGCAATCGGCGCTCCCTTATATGTTTATGCAGCGGAATGTAAACAATTTGGTGTTTGAATCGCAGGTGATGACTTCTTCGAAACTGCAAACCTACCTCAACCATCTTCGGTGAGTTTCAGAAAGAAAATATACTTTTTAAGAATGTGAATAGTGTTCTGTTAATATTAATTGCAACCTGCTTCAGTGTTCACGCACCGGAATGTAACAGTTTCATTGAACGCGCCGGCAAGTTTCAAACAAACTTGAACTACGTCTATCCTGTAGTTAATTTTTCCACTCCATTTTTTCGAGCAATTTGGTGAAGATTGATCGATGATTCGACAAATATCGGAACAAAAAGCGAATCCGGTTTCTCATAAAAAATATGCACACGAGTCAGAGCAAGACGTAGTCGTGACAGGTAATCATTATACTGTAACACAACACTATTAAAATAAGCGAGTAGCACTTATCAGTTTTTGTATGAATGGCGAGATGAATGAACCAGTTTGTGAGAACAGTATGTTCACCGATGATAAAAGCTATGAAATAAGCATTTGTGCGTGGGTTTGCATTCAGAACGCGACAACTTGTTACAAATGGGCGCCTCAAAGGGACAGGCGTTGTTGAGTGACGTTTTGACAACCTCTCACGTGAAAATGAAGATGAACTCTGCCCAAGATGTTTGTCGGTCAAGGGATATCAGTTTGGTTGGTGAAAACTGACTGACTTGTCAGTTGTTTTTCCGTAATGACGCAGTGCAAGTAAGTTATGGTTTGTCAGCTTCGAAGATCTGTCGTCGATAAAATTAGATCGTTTTGCTTGGTTCGTTGGATATGTCAAAGACCTACATAAGTTGTTTTCTTTTTGTCCGACACAGAGTTTATTATGTCTGTTGAGAAGAATCAATTTAATGTGAGTGCACCAGCTTTTCGGTCTTTGAAACTGACCAAACGCTCCGGCACCCTCTACCGGCATTTTCTATGACATGGAATAAATTCAGTACTCTTATTTTTCTAAAATTCCTCAGTGAGCTTATTGCACTGACCGCAGTATCGTGAAGTGAACCGTGGCAAATTCAATCGAACAACAAAGTTGATCGTAGTCAAAAATAATCCCCTGAAAATGACTGGCGGCTTATTTTGACGACTTTGCCGCGGTTTTCTTCCAGTTTTTTCCACTTTACGTTATTGATCTCGCAGGGAAAATACCCCAGTATACCGTCGTCAACCGAGCTGCCCTTCACGCAATGAATTGATACTGCTAAATCTCATTAGGGTGTTGAGCGGCTTGTTTTGTTTGGCATGCCTGCAGTGTCTCTGTTTTCATCTAAAGCAGTTTAAAATCTTATTTTAGCTTACCTTTCTTTCTGGTTGTTTCAACTGTGTTGCTCTCTTTTTCAAAGTAAAAGCCATTCGTTTCACTGTAGTTAAGAACTGTTTATTTATAAATAAACTCAATTAAAAACAGCTCGGTGTGACATCCTAATAAATGGCTAATCAACAAAATTTTTCACCTGCGTAACTCTTCTTGTTCTGTAACCTTCTGCGATTTAATTATTGCTATGGAATGTTCTGTTCAATTTATAATTTTAGCTCCCTTTGTCTTTTTCTTTCCCAGATTCTATTGTTTCAAAAGGTTTAGCAATGAAAGTCTGTGTTTTGTACAGCACATTTTTATGAGGCGACTTGATAAACATTTATTTCGCGTAAATATGATAACAAAGTATATTGTTTTGATGTGATAATTTCATAACTTTAACCTTTGGTAAACGCTTCGAAAGGAAAGACGAGGTAAGACCTCAAGCATTCATAAAAATTCTCACGTCTAGCAGATTTCTTTGTGTTTACCCTTGCGTATAAAACGAATTGTACTTCTCGAAGTTTCAAACATTACATACCTAATATTACTTGGCAAAAAGCCAAAAAATCGACCAATCTCAGGCGGCAACACCGCGTCGTGAACAACAGTAGCTTTGCATTATGAATAAAAGGCCCCTCTATAGAAAACTCTAGAGAGGCATAAAATATGCCTCAGGTTAAGGTTAAACTAAAACCACAACAGGCAAAGGCTTGTTTTGGGAGCAGACAGTTAATTAAATGTATATATCCTACGTAAATAACACACTAGACTATTACATAAAAGATTGGACGAATAAACTACACTAACAGTCCAGTAATCAAGGATAAGTTACAAACACGAATGAGATTAAGATACAATCAAGACTGTCAATGGTGTGGGTTGGAGGGAAACTAAAACTTTCTTAAAGCTACAATTAAACTTGCTGCTTGCTTGCTTGCTAGATTACTAATAACACGTGCACAGATACCTAAGCGGTAACACTAAAGTAATTTCGCAATTAGAACGCGTTAGCGTGGTGAATAGCCATTGGCTCTACCCAAGTCTTATGACTTATATGCTGAACAAATCGCTCAATCTTGAAGAAAAAGAAAAATATTAACATGCACCCTGCCTGTACCCAGTGCAGGCCTCTCAGTTATCGATGTCCAGATTCATATTAATAGAGATTAATATTCACTGAAAGGGTCACCGGACCGAGTCCCTTGATGGCTATTTACAATGGAACCGCATGTAATGCTCTACAGGGGTAGAGCGAGCAAGGTCACTATTTAAGCGGGGGTGGGGTAAAGTAATGCCTTGAAAACAAAAATCTGACTGAATTTCAAACCATCCTCCATATTCTTTATATTAAGTAAATCTGGAGGAAACGACTACATAGATTGAAAATAATGATATTATCGTACAATTTTAACCAGGTATTTGACTATAGCTAAATAGGGTTGGGGCTTGAAAAATCTCTAATTATTCAATTAAAAAGAAAAAAAATGTTAAGTAGTGAGAACTTTCTTTACCCCTTTGCCATGCCCTATCCTTCCACTAGTTCCTGGTGTATCCCAATTAAACCATATACATAATAACACTAGACAAGATAGGGTTTCAAGTTTTATTTAAAAGGGTTATAAATTGGCGATCAAACAGTAAAACGTACTGGAGGATAATGACCAAATTCAATTCAATCTGCCGAAAGAAATCAGAAATTATTAAGATTTGATGCCTCTATCCATTTGAAGCGTCAACATCCCTCTCTCCCAGGTAGCCCTAGGGCATTTGAACTTTAATAATTGGTTTGTTGTAATTTTTTGTAGCCAGTTTAATGGAGAATGTATAGCAGCCGGTGAGGAGAATTAACAATCAGATCCTGAGGGTTGAAGGGTTAAGCTAATGAGAGCTCTAGTCTATGTCAAATCCTAAAAATGCATTACTACTCTTTTAAACAGGTAGCTTTCTATTACCTGTCCACTGCAAACACAGAAGAGTGCACATTGACGAACCAACAAAATATACATGGTTGAGTCTTATGAGCTATGAGCCTGACTTCATTTAGCTCGTACCCAGACCTTTCATGGCCAAGGGGTTGCAGTAATAGCTACACAATAAGATCTGGGTATGAGATTAGCGGGGAATTGTCCATTATGAAAGTTAAGTTCATGCATAGAAGTCTCGTACCCAGATCTTCCACGGCCAAGCGGTTTTAACATCTCAGTTACAGTTAAATGGTTGATCAGGTCGATGAGTTACATGCGCAGTTGGAGCTAGAATTCGAAATTAGGGCAAGGGTTACTGTAAGCAGTTAGAGTATAATGAGGCGCTACTAGCGGTTATCAGGATACGGGATATTTGGGTAAAAAATGATAGGGATGAGGGACACTTGAGGAAAAAATTAATTTGGGATATTTGAAATAGATATTCTAGGATATCAACCTTAAATTACTGGGATACAAAACACGGGAAAGAACAAGATTTGGGATATTTAGACCAACAATTAAAAGGGTACGGAATACTCAGACCTCTCCCAATGGAACCTTTGTCGTGACTAAAGTTTCTGCAGCTTTTCAGACAGTGTTTTACTGTTCCTGATTTAAGAAGAAAAAAAAAACCATCTGAAAAGTTTGTACCGCCCCACTCCCCTTTCTGTATTCCATGGTTATCCATGGCCCACCCCTTTTTTCATTGAAATAAATGGTTCCTCGACCCGATATTCTGATCAGTCCACCCCTCTTTTATTTTATGGCTAGTCCATCATTACCCCATTCAGTTCCAGTTTGGCATTTAAGCACTTAGTTGGTTACCACAACATCATTTTACCACAAAAACAAACAAACAAACAAACAAGAACAAGTTAAACCTGGAGTGAAATTTCGGCACCATAACCGTTAATACCGTGGCGAGATATAAGTCTTTCTGGCCGGTACTGTAACTGAAGTGTTTTTGTCGTTTTGTACCTGGTCCCACTATTATTTCGAATTTCGAAGAAAGCGCAGGAGAGAAAATTGATTTCAATCTTTTTTTTCTGTTAAGCTATTGGATCAATTTACTGAAGTTCTAAACCTTTAATTCATTCCTAGAGGAATTTACTTTCAACTTGTTAACATAGAAGTTGATTATTTTAGCCAATTACTTGTGTTTCATTTACTTGTTAGTAAATGACTTCACTTGTATACACTTCCTTGATTGCTTATTTTTTGGATTAGACCTTGACCTGGGATTAGAACAACGGAACTCCTCCACGATTTTTATGTTGTTAACCGATTTGTGCCTTACATTTCCATTTATCAGAATTGCGAGCTAAACTAATCTCACGTAAACGGTTTTGGGTTATCTTCTAAATAAACGATAAGCACTTCTTTTTAAACAAAACTAATTTTTACAAGTCCATCATTTTTCGTTTTCTCTCTTAATCAGAATGTTTTGATTTTGTACAAATCGTTCCGGTGTGAGAACCTCTCTTTCACTTTGTGATAAAGCCAGCAAAGCAAGGGAAGGCCAGATCGATATCTAGTATGAGTAGAGTACGTGCAGGGGGAAAAACCCGTCTTACATCAACCTATAACACACAGCTAACTTTTCCATTGCGCAAATACTAAAATTAACAAATCGAATTAGTCCTCTGCTGGCCCAGTATTTTCCGAATATTGAACAAGCAAATACTGCGAATTATCCCACGCGACCCCTCTTAAATGTTTTGTAATATTTTTGCAGGTTCTTTTGTCAAAGAGAGAAAATAATTTACCAATGAGAGATTCTTTCCCGTTCCTTCCGGCT